TTTCCTGAGATTCCAATTATACATATATTAGGCCATTTGAAGTCCCAAAGCTCACTGATACTTTGCTTATTTATTTATTTTTTTCTTTTTTCTTTTTGTTAATGTCTATTGCTGTGGTATCAAGTTTACTAATATTTTCTGCTGCAAGTTCTAGTCTGCTTTAATTCCATCTAATGTATTTAAAATTTGTTTTCAATTTTGAAATAATTTTAGATTGGCAGAAGAGTTCTAAAGATATGACACAGATTTCTTGTATAACTTTAAACCAACTTCTCCTAATGTGAACATCTTATATAGCCATGATATGTTTATCAAAACTCAGAAATTAGCAGTGGCACAACTAAACATAATTGGTATTAAACTACAGGCATCATTCAAATTTTCCCAGTTTTCCCACAAATATCCTTTTTCTGTTCCTGGATACAATCCAGGATATCATGTTGCATTCATCCATTTGAATTTTTTTATTTCAACAATTGTATTTTTTATTTTTAAAAGTTTTATTTGAGTCTTTTAAAATCTTCTATGTCTTTCTTTAATATGTGAGGCTTGCTTTTAACAATATACCATGTCTTATAGATGTATGTGTGTATGTATCTCTATCTATCTATCTATCTATCTATCTATCTATTTTTTTGAGATGGGGTTTCACTCTTGTTGCCCAGGCTGGAGTGCAGTGGCACGATCTTGACTTACTGCAACCTCCATCTCCCGAGTTCAAGCAATTCTCCTGCCTCAACCTCCCAAGTAGCTGGAACCACAGGCATGCACCACCACAACCAGCTAATTTTTGTATTTTTAGTAGAGACGGGGTTTCACCATGCTGGTCAGGCTGCTCTTGAACTCCCAACCTCAGGTGATCCACCTGCCTCAGCCTCCCAAAGTGCTAGGATTATAGGCATGAGTCACCAAACCCAGCTGTAGATATTTTTATATAATTGTTTCTTTAAAAGTTATATGTAATATTCTATTATATGAATATATTATAGTTCATTTGAGCATTTCCTGTTGTTGGACATTTAAGTTATATCTAATGTTTTCTTTTGCTATGCAAACAATGCTGCAAAGAATATCAAATAATATCATTTTACACAACTCTTTGTTACATATACAAATACTTCTCTATGATAGCTATCTTGACAGGGAGTTATTGGATCAAAGGTATGTTTATTTAAATTATTGAAAGATGCCCTAAATTGCCCTCAGAAATGTCTTAATTTAAATCTCCACCAATAATACAACACTATCCATTTCTCCATGTCTTGACTGATGCTGGGTGTTATCAGTCTTTTACTTTTTATTTTAAAATTTAAACTAAATTAAACTTTGAAGGAGACAGAGTCTTGCCCTGTTGCCCAGGCTGTAGGAGTGGTGCAATCATAGCTCACTGTAACTCCCGGGCACAAGCGATCTGCTCATCTCAGCTTCCCGAGTAAGTAGAACTAGAGGTGCATGGCAGCCCACTCTGATGATCAATTTTTTTGTAGAGATAGAGTCTTGTTATTTGCCTAGGCTGGTCTTGAACTCCTGGTCTCCAGGTGATTCTTCCCCCTCAGCCTCCTAAAGTGCTGGGATTACAGGCTTGAGCCACCTCACGTGGCCTCAGTCTTTTACATTTTGCATTATAATGGATGAAAAAGGATATCTTGCTGTTGTTACACTTCTCTGATCACTAAAAATGTTAAGAATAATTCTATTTGTCATTTTTTGCTATTAAAATTTTTCTTCTGTTGTCTCTTCATATTTTATGCTCTTTTAAAAATTTTGAAAATATTGATTTCTACAAGTTCCTTATATATTCTCTATAGTATTTCTTTGCCTGTCCTATATGTGGCAAACATTTTATGTCAGTTGCCTTTTTTATTTGTGTACAATACCTTTTGTTATATAGAAGTTTAATTATTTGGGGTAGCAAATTTCTTTTTCATTTTTGTCTCTTGCATTATATCCCCAAAGTTTTAAATACATTCTCCTTACTGTATTTTCTTCTAATGATTTAAAAGTTTTACTTTTCAATTTCAATTTTATTTCATCTAGAATTTACTTATTGAGTGAGTGAGGTAGGGTAAGTAAGCTTATTTACTTGCCACAATAAAATTTATTATAAAGGTCATTCTTTTCTCATTGATTTAAAAAATGCCACCTTTATCTTATACAAATTTCTCACAAATGTATTAGTCTCTTTCTGACCCAGTGTTATGTTCTAAAGAAATGTTATTGTCTCTTGCTGTCCCCATGTCACACTGTTTTAATTACTCTAGCTTTATAGTGATTTATATCTTTATGTTGATATCTGCTAGGCCAAATCCTGTCTTACCAGCCTTTTACAATCATTTCTTGGCTATTCTCGCATATTTTCTTTTCCAGATAAATTTTGCAATCAGCTTGCCACATTTCATAAAAATTCTCCTAGGATTTTGCTTTTAATGTATTTGCTAATTTTGGACAGAATTGACATCGCTACAAAATCAAGTTTTCTTATCCAAGAACATTGTTTTTTGTCTCTCCATCAATCCAGGTCTTTTACTTTGTCCTGACCATATGCCTCCTCTCCCTTTAATATGTTAATAAAATGATTTATATTAATGTATTTGTTTTTCCTGATGTTGAATTATCTTTGTATTTCTGGGATAAACCCTTCTTTCTTTTGTTTTATTCTTGTCATGGCTACTCAATTGATTTCAGATGAGCTGATGTGCTTCAGCTCCTGGGCTCCCTCTGGTGGCCATTAGGCCCTTCTCTGTGACCTTTGGGGATGGGGTTTGGAACAGTTGTGTAATCTTGGACTCCAGGGCTCAGGCCCAGGCAGTTCCCTATGACAGCAAGATCATAGATCTAAGAATCTGGTAGGCATAAAATCTGTGTACCCGAGTCATATGACCATCTGTATTGCCTCCTTGGGTTCTGTTAGCATCTCTTTGCTAGGAGACCCTGAGGAAAGAGACCATATCTGTGTTAAAAGAATCTACTCTCTCAGAATCCGAAAGTCCATTCACTGATCTGTCCCTTTCTCTAAGCTGTATCATTATCTTTATTTCATTTTCGATGAGGGAAAACTCTCAAATACAGTTTCACTTTTATGAATCTGGATGGCTTTTTTTTATATCAGTAAACTTATAAATCAGAAACTTATGTCCCAAATTTGGTCTAGAAAGTAAGATCTTGTGTCTCTGGTATTTTGATAGAGATTGCATTTAATTTCTAGGTCACTTTGGTAGTATGGTCATTTTCACAATATTAATTCTTTCCATCCATGAACATGAGGTGTTTTCTATTTTTTGTGTGCGCTCTTCAGTTTCTTTCATCAATGTTTAATAGTTTTCCTTGCCGATATCTTTTATCTTTTTAGCTAAATTTATTCCTAGGTATTTTAGAAAATAAATTCTTAACTACTGAAAAGCAAGAGAAAGTGCTACCAGCCAACAAGAAATGTTCAGGAATTCCTGGAAAATGGTAAGCAGATGAGATTGAATTGTTGGAACAAACCACAGCCAAACAAAGGAAGGGACTACTGCAATAAGAGGAGTGGTTCTGGAGGCATTCTCAGTTCAGAGGCAACAGTTACAAGGAAAAGAAGGAAGGACCTGAGGCAACCATCATGCTGACTGATTAGGGACCCTAATTTGCTGTGGGCAGGCTGAGGCAGTGAGCATCAGAGATATTCGCCCTTAAGCGGAGTCAGTCATTGCCAATGCTTGAACTTGAAACTCAGAGAAATATCTGAAGGAATGAGGAGCACAGACAATATCCTCCCATTATAATTTCTGGAGACAGTAAATGGAAACCACATCCACAGACAGGCCAGTATGGAATCTTAACTAAAAAGAAAAGCCTGCCAATAAGGATAAGCACATGCTGTGTTTGAATGAAAGCTCCGCAAGATGGCGGCGGCCAGGGCCGAGGCTCGAAGAGCTTGGTGAGTGCTTTGCCTAGTTTCACTTGTTACTGTTCAGGAATTATGTAGAAAAGAAAAGCTCACGTGTAAAGTGATTGGAATCACCAAAGGGAATCTAAACAATTATGAGGTGGAATACTTGTGTGACTACAAGGTAGTAAAGGCTATGGAATATTATCTTGTAAAATGGAAAGGATGGCCAGATTCTACAAATGCTTGGGAACCTTTGGAAAATCTGAAGTGCCCGTTACTGCTTCAGTAATTCTCTAATGACAAGCATAATTATTTATATCAGGTGAAGAAAGGCAAAGCAATAACTCCAAAAGATAATAACAAAACTTTGAAAGCTGCCATTGCAGTGTAGTGAAGAAGGCTAAACAAAGGATAGCTCTGCAGAAGTGGCAAGATGAACTCAACAGAAGGAAGAATCAGAAAGAAACGATATTTGTTGAAAATACTGTTGATTTAGAGGGCCCACCTTCAGACTTTTACTACCTTAATAAATACAAACCAGCTCCTGGAATCAGCTTAGTCAATGAAGCTACCTTTGGTTGTTCATGCAGATTGCTTCTTTGAAAAATGTTGTCCTGCTGAAGCTGGAGTTCTTTTGGCTTACAATAAAAACCAACAAATTAAAAGCCCACCTGGTAATCCCATCTATGAATGCAACTCAAGGTGTCAGTGAGGACCTGATTGTCCCAGTAGGATTGTACAAAAAGGCACATGGTATTCGCTTTGCATCTTTCGAACTAGCAATGGTCGTGGCTGGGATATAAAGACCCTTGTGAAGATTAAAAGAATGAGTTTTGGCCGGGCACGGTGGCTCACGCCTATAATCCCAGCACTTTGGGAGGCTGAGGCAGGTGGATCACGAGGTCAAGAGATCGAGACCATTCTGGTCAACATGGTGAAACCCCATCTCTACTAAAAACACAAAAATTAGCTGGGCATGGTGGCGCACGCCCGTAGTCCCAGCTACTCAGGAGGCTGAGGCAGGAGAATTGCCTGAACCCAGGAGGCAGAGGTTGCTGTGAGCCGAGATCGCGCCATTGCACTCCAGCCTGGGTAACAAGAGTGAAACTCAGTCTCAAGAAATGAAAAAAAAAAAAAAGAATGAGTTTTGTCCTGCAATACGTTGGAGAGGTACTCACAAGTAAAGAAGCTGAAAAATGGGGACAGTTATATGACAACAAGGGAATCACATATCCCTTTGATCTGGACTATCAATGTGATGAATTCACAGTGGATGTGGCTCGATATGGCAATCTATCTCATTTTGTGAGTCACAGCTGTGACCGAATCTTCAGGTGTTCAATGTTTACACTAATAACCTCAATCCTTGTCTTCCCTGAATAGCGCTGTTTTCCATGAGAACCATAAATGCTGGAGAAGAGCTGACCTTTGATTATCAAAATGAAAGGTTTTAGAGTTACATCTGCAGATTCTATTGACCACAACCCAGCCAAAAAGAGGGTCAGAACGGTATGTAAATGTGGAGCTGTGACTTGCAGAAATTACCTCAACTGAGTTTTCAGGAAATAGAGCTGATGATACTTACAATTTTTTTGCTAATGTTAACATTAAAAAAAATACATATTTGGGACTCTTATTATCAAGATTGTACCTATGTTAATTTACAATTCATGTTTCAAGACATTTGCCAAAGCTATTACTGATGCCTCTGAAGAGAGGGTCACTGGGTCTCATGGTCTGATTTGAAATCTACATATTTAGTGCCTAGAGACCAAACTAATGGAAGGCAAACTATTCTCAGCTCAGTATATGTGTACCTAAGTCTATGTGAACAGAGAAATGCCTCCCAAAGTGTTTGAAAGTGTTAAGCTGATAATCTAATTAACAATTACTGAGAGATCAACATTCAACTTGTCATACACCTCAAATTCAGAGAAGTAGAGTTAATTTGGGCAAATCTACCAGTTCTGTTTTTGCTACTATATTGTCATTCCTGTTTAATACTCACTGTACTTAAATTTGAGACAAACAGGTGATACTGAATTTTATACTCTATTTTCTACTTTTTCATTAAAACATTGGCATCTTAATGATAGAAATTTAATATGTAAAATTAAATGTAAACATTTCAGCTTCATTTCATATTTTGAAGCAATTTAGACTGTTGTGATGAGTGTATGTCTGAACCTCTAATTCTTAAAAGACTTCTTAATCTTCTAGATGAAAAATCTCCAAAGAGTTCTCTCTAGAAGTCCAGAATGGCTGCTATTCTGCTTCTTTGAAAGGACAGGATAGTGGGACCGGGACGTTTTATTTTGAGTACCAAGCAAGGGAAATGGAGTACTTTAAAGACGGCTCTTAGTAACAGGAATTAGGAAATCTGTGTCGAGTACCTCTGGTCTAAACAGTAAAACAAGCTGCCTAGAGAGCAGGTGTAGCTAATGATACTGTAATGTATGTTAACATTACATCCTCTCAATTTCAGGCAGGTGTAACAGTTCCTTTCCACCAGATTTAAGTATTTTTATATTTCCTGCTGGCTCTTTTAAAAAAGTAATCCATATTTTTGAACTAATACTTGTTTTATACATGAATTTTTTTTAGATGTGATAAAGCTAAATTTGGCCAAAATGTGTGCCTGAATTATGAGACCTTTTTATTAGTTGACCTATGAAGACTAAAACAGAATATATTAGCTTTCAAGGGGGTAGGAGGGTTCCAGCATAGCATCGAATCTTAATCAGGAAAAATTATACTTTCATATATGACTCTCAGATTTCTAATTGTGCTATCAAAAATGAAGATAAATGCAACAAATAAACCTAGCTTTTACTATTCCTAAGTTTTACCTAAGCTCATTGCTCTAGGCTTTGATTACCTAAAATAAGCTTGGGTAAAATTGAACCGACTTCAAGAATGCAGCACTTCTTAATCTTTAGCTCTTTCTTCGGAGAAGCTAGACTTTATTCATTATATTGCTATCACAACTTTACTCTTTCATAATATAAGGATAAATTGTTTACATGTTTGGAGCCTCAGAGTTTGTTAACCAAAATTGCAGAATGGGGGTGCTGGGTGTGGTGGCTTATGCCTATGATCCTAGCACTTTGGGAGGCTGAGGCAGGCGGATCACCTGAGGTCAGGAGTTCCAGATTAGCCTGGCCAACATGGTGAAACCCTGTTTCTACTGAAAATACAAAAATTAGCTGGGGTTGTGGCCACACACTTGTAGTCCCAGCTATTCAGAAGGCTGAGGCAGGAGAATCGCCTGAGCCCCAGAGGTGAAGGTTGCAGTGAGCCAAGATCGCGCCACTGCACTCCAGCTTGGGCTACAGATCGAGTGAGACTCTCTCAAACAATCAACAAAAACAACAAAAAGATTTATGCTTATGTTTTATTCCCAGAATTTTATAGTTTTAGCTATTACATTTAGATCTTTGATCTATTTTTGTATTTGGTGTGTGGTAAGTGTCCAATTTTATCCTTTGCATTTGGATATCCAATAGTTCAAGCACCATTTGTTGAAAACACTATTCTTTTTCATTAAATGTTCTTAGTATCTGCTTCTAATTTTTTGAAGAGTTTGTGAAAAATTCATATTAATTCTTTAAATGTTTGGTAAAATTCACCAGTGAAGCTATCTAGACCTGTGCTTTTCTTTGTAGGGTAGTTTTAAAAATTACTAATCTAGTCTCTTTATTGGTCTATTCGAATTTTTTATTTATTCTTGAGTCAGTTTTGGTAATTTCTGCCTTCCTAGAAAGTTGTTGATTTCATCTGAGTTATCTAATTTTTTTGGCACACAATCGTTATAGTGTTTTTTATAATTCTTTTTATATCTGTAAGATTGCTAGTAATGTCTCTCATTTCTGGTTCTAGTAATTTGAGTCTTTTGTCTTTTCTTTCTTGGTTAATCTAGCTAAAGATTTGAAATTTAGTTAATTTTTAAAAATATCCAACTTGGCTAAGCATGGTGGCCTCACACCTATAATCCCAGCACTTTGGGAGGCCGAGGTCGGTGGATCAACTGAGGTCAGGAGTTCAAGACCAGCCTAAAAAAATACAAAAATTAGCTGGGCATGGTGCTGTGGGCTATAGTCCCAGCCACTCAGGAGGTTGAGGTGAGAGGATCAGTTGAGCCTGGGAGGTGGAGGTTGCAGTAAACCGAGATTGTGCCATTGCATTCCAGCCTGGGAGCCTGGGTGAGAGAGTAAGACCCTGCCTTTACACACACACACACACAAAGTCCAACTTGTGGTTTTGTTGATTTTCTCTATTGTTTTTCTATTCTCTATTTCATTAATTTCTACTCAGTGTTTACTATTTCCTTTCTCCTCTTGCTATATCTTTTCATTTGTTCTAAAATTTCTGATATATCTGTAGTGAAATCTTTTAAAAAAAATTTTGTGTTTTTACTATTTGTTTCTTTTCTTTTTTTGTCTCATCTCTTCTCCTTTCTTTTCCTTCTTTTCTTTTCTTTCTTTTCTTTTCTTCCTTTTGAGACAGGGTCTTGCTCTCTCACCCAGGCTGTAGTGTAGGGGCATCATGATCATAGTTCACTGCAACCTCAAACTCTTGAGTTCAAATGATCTTCCTGCCCCAGCCTCCCTAGTAGCTGAGACAGCAGACAGGTGGCACCATGCCCGGCTAATTAAAAAAGTTTTTTAAACATTTTTTTGTGAAGATGGGGTGTCACTATGTTGCCCAGGCTGGTCTTGAACTCCTAGGCTCAAGTGATTCTCCCACCTCTACCTCCTAAGATGCTGGTATAATTGGTGTAAGCCACTGTGCCTGGTTTCTTTTTGTTTCTTAGTAAATCTTTCCCGAACTTTCTTAATTCTATTAGTTTTTTCAAAGAATCAAATTTTGGTTTTGTTAACTGCTCTTATTTTAATTGTTTCCTTTCTTTCATTTTCCTGTATTTATTCTGTTGGTCTTTTTTCAATTTTTAAACTCATTAGATCCCAGACTCTCCTTTTTCCCAACATAATTGCTCATTTCATTTTATTTTATAAGCTTTGATGTACAGTATTTTGTTTTTGTCAGGTTCCAAGTAATTTCTAATTTCCATTTAAAAAATTATTTCAGAAGTATATTTCTTAATTTCTTAACAAATGATATATTTGTGTAAATGTTTAAATTTTTATAATTGATTTTAGCTGGATTTCTAATGTAATTTCCTTGTGGTCAGAGAATGTGGTTTGTATGATACCAATCCTTAAAAAGTTTTTTCTTTTTGTTATTAGTTACAGCAGCAATAGGAAAAAAAATTATTCTTGCTTTATGACTTGCTCTCTGGTCATTTTTTAAATAAATATATTCTGTGTGCTTGAGAATATAATGAGTCTTGTTTGTTGAGGGAAACGTTCCTGTATATGCTCATTCTATCAAATTTTATAATTAATTTGCTTAAATCTAAATTTCTACTAACATTTTGGCTCTGAATTACTTAAAGATATGTGCTAACATCTTTTTATTCATTGTGAATTTGTCAAATTCTCCTGATAGTTTATAAGTGTTTGTTTTATATATTTTAGACTATGTTTTAAGTGCACATGAGGCTAGAATTGGTATATCTTTCTGATGAAAATTATCTTTTATAATTACATACAGACTCTCTTTATCTCATTAGGCCTTAAAATTTACTTTGTTTATAATTAATATAATTATACCAGTTTTCTTTTCATTAGTATTTGCCTTATATTTCTTTTTTTTTTCTTTTTCTTTCTTTCTTTTCTTTTTTTTCTTTTTGAGACAGGGTCTTGCTCTGTTGCCCACGCTGGAGTACAGTGGCATGAAGATGGCTCACTGCAGCCTTGACCTCCTGGGTTCAAACAACTTTTTCACCTCAGCCTCCTGAGTAGCTGGCACCATAGGCCTATGCCATTATGCCTGGTTAATTAAAAAAATTTTTTTTGTAGAGACAGGGTCTTGGCATGTTGCCCAGGCTGGTCTCAAACTCCTGGCCTCAGGTGATCTTCCTGTCTCAGATTCCCAAAGTGCTAGGATTACAAGCATGAGCCACTGCACCCAGACTGCATTATATATCTTTTGTATCCTTTTGCTTTCCACTCTTCTGTAACTAGTCTTGTGTTTTAGACTTTTTTATTACATGGCACATAGGCTTAAAAAAAATTTTTTTTGGCAAGGTACAGTGGCTCATGCCTGTAATCTCAGCATGTTGGGAGGTCAAGGCAGGCAGATCACTTGAGCCCAGGGGTTTGAGACCAGACTGGACAACATTGTGAAACCCTATCTACTCTCTCTCTCTCTTTCTCTCTCTCTCGCTCTCTCTCTCTGTCTCTCACTTAGCCAGGCATGGTGGCACACATCTGTAGTCCCAGCTATTTGGGTGACTTGAGGTGGGAGGATTGCTTGAGCCTGGGAGGTCGAGGCTGCAGTGAGCCATGATTGTGCCCCTGCACTTAGCCTGGGTGGCACAAGAAGACCCTGTCTCAAGAAAAAAAAATTTTATAATGGGTATATATAGAGAGAAATGAGGCCCAAGGAGGGTCACGTCAAGGTTCTAGAGACCAGGAGATTCATGACATCAGCTACTGAGACAGTGTCAACCTCAAAACATCCCACCCCACCTCTCCCTGGCTCTAATCCCTCTCCCTTCTGTGGGGACCTTATTCTGTGAGCCCTGACCCTGTCCTCTGGTGACTCTACTGAGAATATAAAGGTCAATCTTCTTGCACCTTTAAAGTAAAAATCTTTGGAACAATTCTCTCCTCCAGCTGCTGCCTCATCTCTCTCTTCCTCTGCACTGGCAAGTTTCTCAAAAAGTTACTCCTGCCTGTTTTACCACACAGTTGCCCAATCCAGATACATAGGAATTATGCTTGGCTCCTGCTGCCCCTCAACTTTCCTCATCAAATGACTCAGAAAGTCTTTTAAATTCCATCTCAAAAATAGATATGGATTTTAAATGTTCCACCTGCTGCTCTCTCTGCCACTGCTATGACGTGGGTACCCATCATCTCTTGCCTGGACCTCTGTACCTTCTCCTGGGATTGGATTTCCGATCCTTTCACAAGCTGACAGTGATCCTCTTCTCCTCTCTGAGTCCTCACACCCTTACCTGTTCCTCCACCAAAGCTTTCTGGGATTTGCTG